AAGACGGGCACGAAGCATGTGTCTTTCTTGAAGTTATTTAGGAGCTTTATGTCGCCTCCAAAGGGCCGCATGAGAGCTTTGAAGGGCTATGCTTTTGCCAGCACGCGAATGCATGCGACGGACTTATTACGTACTCTACGCCGAGAAAGGCCAGGCAAGTTCGCTGTTGCTGTCTCACATATTTTTACGGTGTGCTGCTGCTGTAACTTACAATATCATATCGTTAATGGAAAGCTAAAATTTTCGCCATGTAAATCGTGATTATGCACCATGCCTAGCATGATACCAATATATCTTCTTTATTTGAAATATTTAAACATAATAATTGCTATGATCAACACAGCAAACAAGCTTCATTTAGCATCAGAAATTTGCTAGGCATATTTTTTTTTTTGTCGTCAAACATATAGGTACCGTATGTGAAGGCTGTGGGATGATGAAAATCATATCGCTTTTTTGTGCATCTTTTCTAACGCTTATCTCAGCATAATGTTTACGCATCGCGTTGTACTGAGAACCTGTTGTCCCGTACTTCAAATGTCTAATGCCATCACTTTCATCCAAACACTTCAGCTGAAAACCGCACGTCGCGTCTCGGAAGCTAAAGTTGAGGTCACTTGAGCTTCCTGTTGTTGCGAAAAACCATTTGAACTACGCTTACGCGTTGTTTTTATGGGATCATAAACTCACTCCAGTTAAAATATAGGGCCTTTTACGGGATATGACGGCTTTTCTGCGTGTATTTGGGAGTCAGCCACAGACTAGGTTCTCGGTTATTTTGTAAGAGCCACATTTATAACATAGCCACACATCAGTGGCACAGTTCACAGCACGCTGCACGTGTCAGTAATTGGCCAGCACCCCGCTGGCATCTCTTCGTGAAGCATGACAATGATTTAAAGGGATAAGGTATGCAAGGACAGACTCATGACAATCTAGTTTTTAAGCAGATTATGGCTTTCAGCGCTCGATCATTTGTATTGTTGAGTTTAAGCACAATAACTTGTACATTTCACCTAAGTATTTGCCTCTAAATGTATGCCATTAAATAGGACGTTTCTTTTAGCGGTGTGAATTGTCCTTATTGTTCGAAAGCTGGTGCATTGTGTGAACAAGGTTACACAGCCTAAATATCAGACATGTTACCAGTAGAAGAAAGCATTATTTGTTGCTGAAAACCTTCCTCATACTTGCGCAATGCGTTGCCAGTAAATGACGTCAACCGGTTGCTCATGATTAATGATTGCATAAAATATTAGTGGGCAATTTCATGCTTCCATTTATACGCCGATTGTTGTGCTACGCCGGTGCCATAGCATCGTCAAGACTCAGCTTTAATGCATGTAGCATGTTCGAAGCTATTTTCACAAAGCGTTCAGGGTTCTAAGCAAAATTCAAAGCTGATTAAGCTCCATGTCATTTCGTCGCCGCGCTTGTGCCATCGTGGAATAATGGCACGTTCATTATTCAGAACACCGCGAGTTGGCACAGGCACTGTCGATTAAATTTCACCACGCGTATTTCACTTGGATCAAGACCGCTCAGATAAGGGAAGATGGCGACGCGTTCTTCCCTTTCCGTTTAGTCTATGTTGAGCTCAGCCATGAGACCTTTTTCAGTGACGCATCCTAAAATAAAATAGTGTTTGAGGCATATCAAAGCGGCTTAACCCGCGCCCTGCTGGGGGTCCTAGATTTCCACGCCCTGCTGGGGGGGTGTTTGAACACCCCCCCTTCTAACTCGGCTCCTGGGCCACGTAGCGATACGCGGAAGGCGGCGTTCGAAAGAGCGTAAAAATAATGACGAAATCACTTCGGTCAATTTTTTGGTCAGGTCAAAGGTCAGGTCACCAGAGGTCATTGAAGGCAAAATTTCGCCGATTTCCAGGTCGAATGTCGAAAATTTCCAAGAAGCCAACGCATAACTCGGGAACCAATAGAGCTACAGCGCCGCGGAAAAGTGCATTCGATAGCCCTATTAACGCCCTTTCTGAGTAATTCTCTCAGATTTGACCTAACGTCAACGGTTTTGCCTACAGGGGGCAAAAACTGCAAAAATAGCCGATTTTTTCGGAAACAGTTTTTCTGCAATAACTTTTGACCCAAGCCGTGTACGAGCTTACTTTTACCGGCATCGTGTTCCTCTCGTCAAGACGCATCGAATGAACTATAACTTGACCTGGAAAGGTCAACTTGAAAATTTGACCTCAGGTCAAGGTCATGACCTGACCGGAAAGGGTCATGTTGCATATCAGTCGATCCGTTTCGTCGAGCTGAACACATATAAGGCATTTTCATCGCTCTAGCATGCCTCTATCAAAAGTTATTTGCGAAAAACTGTTAGATACCATTCGTGACCTGACCTCAGGGCATAAACAAGGGTCACGGACACCATTTTCATGTTCAGTGTGTCTAAACCACTTGTAATTCGGTGTTTGGGAGTGTTTATAATGTCTTTCGTCCAAAAGAGACGCATTTCATTTTTCTCCCATTGACTTATAATGGGGAGGTCGCAAAATTGACCTGACGTTAGGTCATCGATATCAAAATTCTGAGATATACATTTTGTACATACTATTGCTCTTAGCAATCGCTGAAAGTTTCAAAGCGATCGGTCACTCGGTGTAGCTATGACAGACATTGAAACTTTTTATGAGGTGAGGTCACTTCAAGTGACCTGGTGACCTGACCTTGAATGACCTTGGTCTGAAATTTTCACAACATGTGTAGAATTGATGTATGATAAGGTGTACCAAAAACGGCGGCGCTCCGCGCCGCCGTTTTTGAGATATTCGCGAAAAACCACAAGGGGGGGTGTTCAAACACCCCCCCCCCCCCAGCAGGGCGCGGGTTAATCGGGAGCCGTTTCCCAGCAGCTAGTCCTCTGTCATCATCGTCAGAGTTTTTCGTGTTGCGTGACCAGGTCTACAGTTCGCAATCATTGCCCGATTGCAATTCGTGAGGGCTGCACATTACTAGCGCAGCCCCTGCCTGGCAACTGCGGTACACAGCCCGCAGACAGCGCGTACATACCCCCACCACGGTCCTGCGACCTTTACCAGCTGGAACAATCAGAAGAAATTTATGGTGATTTATTATCTCGCAACTGCCGAAAAACCATTAGCAGGAGGTTATAATGGACCCATTAGTAGAGCCTTGGAACGTATTGGAATCAAAGGGATGATTTGGTGTGGATATCGGATATCTTTTGGGCTCTTACATCTGTTTGACAAAGGAAGTGTAGGGTCTCAGGATTGGGTTGATTCATTCGTTGATCACCTTACGTCGATCCATTCATCACCTATGATGACTATGACATTCTTGCTGCATATGGTTTCAGCGGTTTATGTGTGATAAATAATCATTAGGGCACTGCTAATGGAGGTTAGTGGAACTCGGAAGAAAGTACTAAGGACGTCGGGCGGCGGCGACAGTGGAGACGGGTGGGGGGAGTGGTTGTCGAGTTTCCATCTCACATTGTGACATCGTTCGTCTCTGGACAGCCATGGGAACAGGAATCCCTCACAATATCCGTATCGTCACCAAGTTCCTATGGCTGTCGTCAGCATTCCTCTCACTGTCATCAACACCGTCTCTTCACCAGGCGCCCAGAATGCAAACTAAGCTCAACGCTTACTACGCCCGCTCAATATTCCTCGCCGAAACGCCCGTCGGCTAAGCCGGAAAGAAAGCAGACACTCGCTTGCTTGAGCTCACCTACGCTGCCGTAAAAGTTGCGAGAAAAGGCTGGACTTTGGGACACACCGTGGCAGTTCAAGTAGGTTAGTGCGGTGGAATGGTCGGGCTGCTTGAGGCTGGTGTGACGACGAGTCGTTTCCAGACATTAGACGGAGAATGTGCAACGATAAATTGGGGCACGAAATGCGAGGAGGTTTGTCGCCGTAAATGTATTACTATCGACCGGCCAGTCACTCGGTATAATAGCGGCGATGCCGCGGCTCACTTCATCATACTGTTCAAGAAAATAATATTCCCTTAGTTTTTCTGCAGCTGGTCTGAATCAGTGGCGGATCCAGGGGGGGGGGGGGCAAAATGGGCATTTGCCCCTCCCAAACGGCATAATTTTAACATTACGCCTATGGACGAGGCATGGAAAGAATCGATAAATTGTTATGGTTTGCCCCCCCCCCCCCAAACTCTGAGCTGGATCCGCCTCTGGTCTGAATTATAAAATTTATATAGCCAAATGAAATGCTGTTTCGTCAGAAAAGCTGTACTCAATTTAAGAATCATTTGCAATATAACCACACTGCATATATTCACATACTCATTGCTGGAATGCACAGAAAGGACACTTTTGATTGACACCACTCTCCCATCAGTGCTACGAAATAATGATGAACATGTTTACTGCAATGTGCTCTCAAAGAGATTATCAATTACAGCTGGCTACTGCAGTTATCGCCACGCATATCACATGCACGTCACATGCATGTGACGTACATGTCGTAACGCATTGTTCTGATTGAAGCGTTAATTAACTCCGCTATGTGAAACTGTCTGTTCTGTGACAGCCAGTCACTATTTCCTTTTGATCATGGCTCGGAACATTAAAGGAAAGCATGTTTTACTGGACAGAGCGGCGGGCGTCCATTACCGTGTATCCTGTACCTACATATCTGGTGTGTGCACGGGGGGCGGGGCGGTAGCAGGGGAGGGACAAGTAAAGAGTCGGAGGGGAGGGGGTAACACAGTGCACCTGTTCCCCTCCATAATATATGCGAATGACGTTATATGTGCTATCGGAAAGCCACATCCAGGGGCACCTTCGTGTGGAAACATAGCAGCCCGTGTGACGTCAACCAAGCCGTGGTCTAAAAATAGAGAATGAGAAGCTGAACCATGCCACTTACTCTAACTACTTGAATGGAACATAATATTGTTTCATCAGGGTTCAAAGCAAGCTAAAATTAACGTCGACTGTCAATATCATACTACGAAAACTGGCAGCTAACTGGCAATATCTTTTCCTTGTTTCAGGTTATTCAACGCTCATTTTTCTCACTCACTGGCTCGCCTACCAGACGTCATACCCCGTGTTGTGACGTCAAGTTATGCGTCAAATGACGTCAAAAGCGCACATCAGTAGAACTCGCTGTGTATTATGTAACCACACCGCGCAATTCATTGCATGGCGTCGGGCGGAGCCATCGGTGTGACAATTACATTCGTGACATCAGACGTGTCAAGTTCATAGCGGAAGTTTGACGTCACCAGTGGACTGTGACGTCACCAGTGGTCCATGACGTCACCAGAGGGCCGTGACTTCAGCAGTGGGCCGTGAACTTTTGTATCGTCTGTGATAAGCTGCGCTAGACCCGTCGTAAAACCGTGAAGACAGCTCATGGGGCGGCATTTTGTACTGAGACGGGTCAGCGCAGCTACTGTTTCTGGTCTCAGCTCATAAGGACAGTGGTGAGAGCTGTTCAGAGACGATTGAGAGCGTTCTACTCGTGTGAGCACAATTGAGTGAGCGTGAGTTACGCGTGGGCACAATTGAGTGAGCGTGAGTTACGTGTAAGCTGAGCTCGAGCTGTTGTGAGGGCCAATTCCAGATAATGCTAGTGTTTAACAGTTAACTTATGAACAGTCAGTGACGGTTGAGCTATGTCATGTGTTGAAGCAGGTATATTTGAGTGTGTGATTGATGATTGTAACGCATGTAATGTTTATAATGTAATTGTGTTGATTTTGTGGAGGTATAATAGGGTTGGAAAAAGAACAGAGTTAACAATCTTGAATGTCATAATGGAAGCTGATGATGTGGCTGCGATTGTTGATAATGTTGTTACAAAACAGTTTTGATGAGTGAATCTATCGTAATGACGATTATTGCAAAGGAGGTAACAAACCGCTGTATATGCCGGTGTTTATTCAAAGAAGTGTACCTATGTATAATGATATACTATTCATTGTGAATGTATGTTGAAGGTATAATGCGCTATATGATTCAAGAGATAACTTCGTGCTGGTACAAGATATTATTTCAACCGTGAACTCTTTTTGGGCTGCTCAAATAATGCTTATTCCAACTGGTATTTGTTCCTTCTCGCTTATAAAAGCCCCCTACTGTGCCCGTTTCATATCTGGTTGTTGTTTGTAATGCTAAAAATAGACATATTATCTACATGGATGTAATAAATGCCTTCAACTTATAGGTATGGACATGAGTGTCTGCACAATGAGTCTCACTTTATTCAAGTCCAAAAGCAAAAAATGCATTCAAATAGCCAGCCAACATATGTATATTCAGGTTCCCTTTCGAGTCTTCATCCCGCATTCATTCCGGTGAATACTAGAATGTCAGTAGCATCAACGATTTTTATTAAACCCTACCTAGTTCTAATCTTTTCGAGGGAAGTTAAGTTGGTTTGCTTAGGTTCAAAACTGATAGATTTACTACCACAACTATCATGAGAAAAGGCTGAGCAATTAGCATCAAAACCACCTAACTTTTATTAAAAATGTTTCATTTGATCCCTTTCATCCTTAGGATGAAAAGGATCTAACTATATTCAGTTGAATATAGTTAGATACACCGGCACTCACTTGTACCAAACACTCACTACCCGAACCACATCTATTGATGTCTTCTCTCTATTCAGAGCTCTCAGCCGCTGCTCTCCAAGCCACAATCGATGAATCCTTACGTGCTGTAACTCTGCAGAGTTTGCCGACCAGCCTAGCCCGGTGGGCGGCGATGGTCCACAACTAACGCCAACAGGCCTCTCCACTCGTCGTGGCGCCTCATCCCGGCGAGCCGATGGCCCGTGGAGCCGTGCCCACCGCCCACGCGACTGGTTCGGGCCCTGTCAGCAGGCGGAGGCCGGATCCCCGGGCCGGGCTGTTCGCAGGGTCACCGGGGGAAGATCGAACGGATCGCGGGGAGGGTATGTATGCTAGTGAGTTTGGTTTGAATGTGAGAGACGTTGAGAGAAAGGCGAGGAGAAAGGACGGTGAAGGGATATACCTGCCTGCTGTCGCATAGACGGATACGGTATACGGTGTGTAAACATCCATCGACCAGCATAGCATCAATGATCAGCCAACAGATCACACCCTTCCCTCACCGCTCTAAATCGCAGGCACTCTCGCCTCTCGTCTGTCACTTCGCCGTGACAGTCACCGCCGCACAGTGGGCCAGGCGCTTCAAAAAAGCGGAATTAAATCATTGAGCACAGCTGCGGTGCCAAAAACGATTCGTTACAGGGTAAAATATCATGCTAAAGCCGAATCCGATATCCATTTTCAATTTTGATTGGTTACGCTAGGTCACTGACCTATGACGTCATTATTCAATTTCTGCGCTGCACATATGCCTGGGACAGGCGGGCACTATGCCGCATTGGCCGCGCGTTTGCAGTCTTTTCGTGGTTTCAAGCGTTCAAACATGTGATATGATGTTGGTCCCATGCATTAGGGTGGGTGTAAAGGTCACCTGAAGGTCAGGTCAGGTCATTGACCTTCGATGACCTCGATTCACTTTTTCGAGTTTTACATGTTTCTGGGCTAGTTTTTGGCACCTTACTGGATCGGATGAGACTGTAAGATTCATTAGAACGGCGAGGCCCACAGCCATACACACATCGACGCCGCAAACGCCCGTACGTACTCGGCGGCGGCATCGTGTGAACCCATGACTCATATGAAACACCCAGTGACACCTAGCGGTCGGCCAGACATTGCACTGACGTGGAAGTGACTACAGGCGGCGGCGCCCCACGAACTGCACCCTTCCCTTTGCTGACAAACCATCACAGAGGGAACATCTTTGTGCTGCCTGCCGACGATTGCAGATTGCCACTAGGCGCAAATAAGGTGGGTCGTATCCTGCATTTCCGCTGCCGCCCTACTGGCCGCCACGACCGACTGGCCCTAGGACAGGGCTGCACGTCGGCCATTATTGTTCAGGCCAGAGCTCTCCAACGGCCGACAGTATCACCGACCGTATACGCAGTTATGCTCGTGCCCCATTTCGGGGAGTTACGATTTATGCTGCCACCAGACTGCTAGCCTCGCATCTTGTTGTGTTCATAGACCTGTCCACGTGCATGACCTAATGTCTCTGTGCACCCAAGGCCAAGCCACCCTGACGCCATCTTGGCGGGAGCGACCAGCAATCGTGTGACCTCTGCCCAGCGATCGCGTGATCGTGACGTCAGCGGTAGGTGTGGACACCTCCAGCGCTGGTGGCGCCGCGGCGGCAGCGACAGCAACTGCTGGTAGCCACGTGGCCGCCAGCGGCGCAGGCGCGGGCGTGTCACGTAACCGTCACTGCGCCGTGAGGCGGCCCGGGTGACTCATCCGCCATGACGTCAGCTGACCGTGACCGTGGCGTAGCGGCCTTTGGCCCGGCGCCCGGACCGCAGGTCCGTAGCTGATCGGGGGTCGTCTTGCACCGGGTCTGCAGCGGGCCATCTGGCTGGAGTCAGGTCACTGCTGGCCGTATGCCACTCTGTGGGTGCTAGAATGACTGCATGCTGCATTGCCGCCACGAGCATGTCAACTGACCGTCACACCTACACCGGACCTCGCGCCTATCTGCCTCTCACCGGTCCGGTGACCGTCGCAGTGTCGCACTCCCACTGAACTCATCTATCCGCTGGCAGTGAGTAAGGTACTGAGAAACTTGTCCATCGACACAGCCTGTTTTAAGTCCTGGCACCGACTGACCGGCGCGACTCACCGGCCGGTTGCGATCGTCCACCGTGTGCCCGAGGCGCCGGACGTGCACAGCGGTCAGCGTCCACGCAGGGACGCGTCAAGGGTGTGCACAGATGTCAGTGCACACAGACAGGCCGCCAGCCGGCACCAAGTCCCTACACTGCCCTTCCCGAAGAAAATGAGCCATTGCGCCGCACCCCAACACACAACTATGTAAAAACAAAATCAGTTTGTTTCCACAATCGGCCCAACCGGCGATCACCAGCTTCGCTAGCACCAGACTCCGCCGGTACGGACGTTAACTGTTTCGCAGCCGTCAGCCCGCCGCTATCGGGGGGCACCGCCACTTCGACACATTCATAGCCTGATGGCGCAGGCGCCTTCGCTAATGGCACCTGCGTGCCCAGTCACAGAAGTTTCCACCGGCAGCCGCCGTGCGGCAGGATCGAGTCCGGTTAAGCAGGTCGGCGGTCGCTGGGAGGCGGAGCTCGACATCCTGAGCAGAGGCGCGTGCAGCTGGGTCGGCGGCGTCGGCTCCTCTGCAGCCGCACTCCTGGTTCGGCCACGGTCTCGGCTAAAACAGCAGTCATCGCAGGAGGTTCTGTAACCGTGTTTCCGTTTAGTCTACTCGTACGTCTCAACTGTACGTCAGTATGCCGTCGCCATATCCTGCCGTCCTCTAGCTCGATCGCGTACGATACTGGCCCGTCGACACCAACGACCACTCCAGCAGCCCATGGCGACCCAACACCGCAGTTTCTAAAAAAAAACTCGAGATATGACACACCAAATCTTCTTTCAGATCTTACCTTGCTGTCCTGAATTCCTTCTGTTTCACCTGATGCTCAGTCACTCCCTTCCGCATGTCCGGGTGAAGAGATCCAGCCGGCTCCGGATGCTGCGTCCCACCATGAGCTCTGAGGGATAAACTGAGGTCGTGCTGCGAGGTGTGATATTCTGACAGCGTAGCCAAACAGACAAAGCATCTTCCCAGTCGTCGTCAGACCTCTGCAAGGCAAGCTTGACATCACGCACAGCATGCTCAGCCAGTCTGTTGCCTTGGCTGTGGCGAGGTTCTTTCGTCCTGTGATGTCTGCCATTTCCCTGCATAAAACATTGAAACTCGGATGAGGTGAATGATGTGGCGTTGTCAGTCACAACCGTGTCTGGTAATCCCCATCGGGAACACATTTCCCAGCCTAGTAATCGTCGACTTGGAGCTGACAGTGGTGCAGCACTCTGCCTCAATCCACTTAGAATAAGCGTCTACCACGACCATCCCGTACTTTCCTTTCGTGGGCTCGGCAAAGTCGATGTGTATCCGTGACCAGGCACGATCCGGCCAGGGCTACATGCGGATGGCAGCGCGATCAGGTGCTGGCCTGCTCTTCTGGCATGCCCGACACAGGCTCCCGACACGCTCGATGACCTTGTCCTTGAGCGGCCACCAGACGCAGCCTCTTGCTAGAGCCTTCATGCGACGTAATCCAGGTTGCGCCACGTGGAGCTCGGCCAAGATCGCTTTACGTGCCCTGCTCGAAATAACGACTCGGTGACCCCACATGAGCACGCCGCAGCATACGGACAATTCCAGCCGTTTACCAGCAATGCAGACGGTTCCGAGTCCGTACTGAGTGGCCGGCCACCCCTTTTGGACAAGACGCTTCACTCAGGACAGCACTGGATCCCGTGAAGTCAGCACCGCTGAGAGAATTTGCTTGGCTCTGGAGACTTCGGCCAAGGATGCACACCTCATGTCCGGCAGCGGCCGTGCGGCAATGTCAGGTGGTGTATGGTACTGAGAGACTTGTCCATCGACGCAGCCTGTATTCGGTCCCGGCACCGACTGACAGGAGCGGCTCACCGGCCGGTCGCGATCGGCCACCGTGTGCCCGAGGTGCCGAGCGTGCACAGAGGTCAGCGTCCACGCAGGGCCGCGGCAGGGGTGTGCACAGATGTCAGTGCACACAGCAGGCCGCCAGCCGGCACCCAAGTCCATACACAGTGACACTCACCGGTCCGCTGACCGTCGCCCTTCCACGGCCCGCTGGCTGGAAGCGCCCTCCTCTGCCCGCTGGCAGTGACACTCAACGGTCCGCTGACCGTCCACTTCCCCGGCCCCTGGCTGGAAACACCCTCCTCTGCCCGCTGGCGGTAACACTCAACGGTACGCTGACCGTCCCACTTCCCCGGCCCGCTGGCTGGATACGACCTCTGCCCGCTGACGGTGACACTCAACGGTCCGCTGACCGTCCTACTTCCACGGCCCGCTGGCTGGAAGCGCTCTCCTCTGCCCGCTGACAGTGACACTCACCGGTCCGCTGACCGTCCCACTTCCACGGCCCGCTGGCTGGAAGTGGCCTCCTCTGCCCGCTGGCAGTGACAATCAACGGTCCGCTGACCGTCCCACTTCCACGGCCCGCTGGCTGGACGCCCCCTCCTCTGCCCGCTGGCAGTGACACTCAACGGTCCGCTGACCGTCCCACTTCCACGGCCCGCTG